CACCATGGGCGGAGCTGCCATCTCGTGGAAATCTAAGAAGCAAACTATGATTGCACAATCATCAATGGAATCTGAATTCTTTGCACTCTGTGCTCCAGGAGATGAAGCTGAGTGGCTCAGTTGTATTCTTCAAGACCTTCCATTGACAGAATTATAAGGCGTAATTACAATCTATTGTGATAATCATGCAACGAGTGTTGTGGCAGCGAACTCGTTGTTCAATGGAAAGAAGCAGATCATTCATCTGAAGTATAGCTATTTGAGAGAACTCATTTGCCAAGAAGTCATCTCGGTGATTGACATTCGGTCTTCAGAGAATATGGTTAATCCTTTGACTAAAGGTCTAAAAAAGAACATAGTCGAAAGGACGTCTGCTGCAATGGGTCTCAAAGTTTTGTGAGTCTTATAAATACTTACTATGTTCATCCAATTATTAGTTCAAAACTTATGCTACTAATAATAAAAATAATTGGTTCAAAAGTCAAGTAAGAAGTTTTGAGCAAATGGACCTGATAATTTTGCAAAAAAAAAATGGAGATGTGAATTAAAAATAGAAGAGAAATGAGAGGACAAAAACTCAATGCATCAAAATCTTTGGAGATTGATATCGAACTTACCTTTGGAGTTGATCCCATGCATTATCACCTAGAATCAAGTTAATTGCATATTGAAGGGTTGACTCGATGAATAAACTTTTGGATGAGAAGGTGCAAAGTTTGGTGAGTCTTACAAACACTTACCATTTCGCCAACTTATTAGTTCAAAGCTTACGCTACTAATGACAAGATGATTGGTTCAAAAGTCAAGTAAGATTTACAAGTAAAATCCTATTATGCAAAGAGGTTGGCTGTTAAGCCTTAATGAGTCCAAAGCATTTCGGATGCGGGATGTTGGATAGATAACATGCCTAAATGACTCACCGATAATACTATCATGTAAAGGGGTTAGTTGTTAAGCCTTAATGGGTCAAAAGCATTTCGGATGCGGGGTGTTAGATAAGAAACACACCTAAAGGACTCACTTAGAATCCTATCATGAGAGAGGATGAGTCTTAAGCCTTAATGAGTTCAAAGCATTTCGAATGCGGGATGTTTGATAGGAAACATGCCTAAAGAACTCACCTATGTCTGGGTGGAGATTTGGCCATCTTCTATGGTATCTTATGGAAAGATACCTAGAGCCCTAGTAGAAACTAGGACAAATACATGGCCATAAATGTGCAAAGGCAAAGGCAAGTGTGGTTCAAAGTAAAAACTACCACATGAGTTTGATCTTGTGTGATCACTGGATTTTAGACATGTGCTGGTTCAAGTCTCTGCGACACCATGCATCTATCTTCTATTCGGTTGGTCTAAGGGGGATTCAAGTCTTTACGACATCTACCTTATGCACAACGATTGAAACAACGACACATAACACGACACTAGTTTAAAAACTTGTGAGGGGTTGTTGGATTTTTTGGTCAAAACTGCTTTCCAAAATGAGTTTTCAAACTATATATATTAATTACAAGTACTTTTCATAAATGCTTAGTAGCCTAGTGGAAAGTTTATGTTTTGGTGTTTCAAAAGGTCCTTTGTTCGAGGCTTGCCAACGGCAAGCCGAGAAGTGTTTTATTTGAATTAATCCCTCATAAGTTCTAGTGGGTTGTGGGTTGTGGATCGTGAGCCGTGGACCGAGGGCCGGTGGGCCGCGGGCCAATGGGTCGGAGATCGGGGCTAATCGGCTGAGACGCTAAGTGGCGCTTTGTTAGGCACACTTTGCACTTCGTACGGAGGTAACGGGGGGAGGTGGCGCTATTTGGCGCCACGAAGGTTGTCTCGTAGGCTGCTTCGCAGCATGCGGACGAGCTACGTATTCGCACGAGGGTGTGACCCTAGTGTTCTCGAAGTCAGACGAGGTTCGTTTGATTCACAAGATCAGACGAGGTTCATCTGATTCACAAGATCAGACGAGGTTCGCTCGTTCGACGAGGTTCGCTCGTTCGACGAGGTTCGTCTGTCATGCGAGGTTCACTTGTTTGACAAGGTTCATCTGATTCACAAGATCAGACGAGGTTCGCCTGTTTGACGAGATTCGTCCGTCATACGAGGTTCGCTCGTTTGACGAGGTTCGCTCGTTTAACGAGGTTCATCTTTCATACGAGGTTCGCTTGTTTGACGAGGTTCGTCTATCATACGAGGTTCGCCTGTTTGACGATGTTCGCTCGGTCGTCGAGGTTCGTCTTACATATTGAAATGACTTCAGAGGGAGTCTAGTAAGAAAAGTGTAAAAGATTTAGGGGCTTTTTGAGATACCATATGGCTGAGGAGGGTTTCTATGATTTTTAAAATTGAGTGGGGTTTTCTATAATATGCATAAATGTTAGAGTGCTTTTCTAGAATTAAAATAGTTGAGAGGGTTTTGTTGAAACCCATATATCTCTTTATCCTATTAGAAGATGACATGTATGCACCTAATTTTACATTTACCTAAAAATTCTCATCGAATTAAAACTGTCCATAATTACAAAAATTCTAATTATCATATATTTTTGTAATTCTCATCAGCTATAATTGTGCATAATTTAAAAATCTCATAATTATATATTTGAATATAGAAATTAAAGAAAAAAATTCATTTGAAGAATCTCTCTACTTAAAATTATAGATTAATTTTAGAAAAACTCAATTATTTTAATTTGAGAAAACCCCCCTCAAGTTTGAGTATATTGTAGATAAACCCCATCAATATGAAAATTTGAGAAATCCTTATGAACTCTTCTCATTTCACGTCCTGAAAGCTACGCTGTTAAGTCTAGCATGTCAGATGATAAATAGGTGACTGAGAAAGGATTAAAATATCCCTTAATCACAAAAAAATGCTCTCATTTTTTAGGGGAGAGAGAGAGAGGAGAAAGATGGGAAAAAATATTGTAAATTGAAAATCATTTTTTTTACCAGTTGGTGTTTCTTAGTAATTGAATGAGTTATTCTTTAGAAGGGTATTTTTATTATTTTATATCTTGAAATGATGTTAGGAGGTGTAGTGAGAAAAATATGAAAGATTAGAGTAGGGGTGTTTTGTGAGACATCTCACTCTATGAAAAATTGACAACTGTTTACACAAGTCCAACTAGATATCCGAAAAATAGAAAATTTATATATTTTTCATTTTTGCCATATGTCTACCTAGACAAATACATTGTGCTAGGTCCGACGTCTCAAAAGAAAATAGTCCTAAAAATGTTCAAAATACGTAAGAATGCTAAAAAGACATGCAAACAACCCTTAAAATTTCAAGCAGTATTTTTAAGCTTCGAAACTATCGAGTGGTATTTGTATTTTTCTACGGAGCTATTTGTATAAATTTTTAGGGTTATTTATAATTTTTAAAACTTTTAGGGGTTGTATGAAAATTTATAGGGGCTAATTTTAATTTTAGAAAGACTAGAGGGCTATTTACAAAATTATCAGGAGGCTTTTTGTAAAAGTTTTATGGGGATATTTGTAAATTACAAAGCTTTCTGGGGATGCATCTAAATTATTCAAGAGACTGGTTGTGTAAATTTATAGGAGGTTATTCGTAACATTTAAAGTTTTTAGGGTTATGCAGTGTCTCCAAGGTTATTGTAGTGTTTGAAACTTTTAAGGGGCTGTTGGTAAAACTTTGATTGGGCTGCTTGTAAAATTTTAGGGGACTATTTATAATTTTTAAACTTTTTGACGTATGTTTATACTTTTTCAAAAGGCTATTTGTAAAAATTTATAGGCTTATTAGTAAATTTCAATTTCAAAGGGGTGTAGGTAAATTTTCCAAGAGTTATTTGCAATTAATAAACTCTCAGAGGCCATTTGTAAAATTATTACGAGGTTGTTTGTAAACATTCCAGAGGGCTGTTCATCATTTTCAAATTTGTCAAGGGGTGTTAAGTAAACTTTTAGGGGGGTGTTTGTAAAACTTTAGGGGTTATTTGTGGTTTTTATACTTTTGGGGGTTGTATGTAAATTTTTTATGGGATTATTTATAATTTTTGAAACTTTTAGAGAGTTATTTGTAAAATATTTGGGACTATTTTTGAAATTTTAGGAGTTATTTGTAATTTTTAAAAAAAGGGATTTTTAAAAAAAGTTTTCAACAGGCTCTCTATAAAATTTTGGGAGTTGTTTATAATTTTCAAAACGTTTGGGGTTGTCTGTAAAATGTTAGGGGTTCGTTTCTAAATTTAAAATATTTTCAATACTGTTTGTAATGTTCTATGCTTCATGGGCCTATTTGTAATGTTTAAAACTTTTAAGGGTCCAGTCACCACAGAAAAAGGAAAATGGCAAAAAAAATCTTAACATAACTGTAACTAACAAAAAAATTTCGAGAAGAACTTCGGTTGATGACCTAGTTAACGATATGAACTTTCTTTGTGGGCCCCAAATGACATTTGGTTAAATCATTACAGAATTTTTTCAATCAAATCGAGAATCGAACCCAGAACCCAGAATCGAACCCAGAACCATGGAAGCCATAGTGGAACCCCCAATCAGAAGTGTGGGAGTCGTGTTGAAACTCCCAAATTAGAGATTTAAACTGATGTTTTGCCCATATTTAATATTTGGGGAGCTTTATTTCTGTTCTAGGGGAAGTGGAACTGTGGAAGCAGCCCCCCCACTTCAACAAAATGACAAAATGAATCGAACCTAGATTATCACTGTAAGCAAAGGTACAAATTTGATCAATTCATGCAACATTTTAGATGCTCTATTGTAAACGAGATAATGGATCTGTGATCGATTCATGCATTATTTTAGATATGAATCTGCGATCAAGCCACGAAACACTTAATAAAACTAAGCAACACATGACAAGGAACGAAAGCTTACGTCTACTTTTTTTTGATTCCTAATAAAAACTAATATATGCATATTGAATTTTAAGAAAAACGATTCTACGTCAACAAAAAAAAAAGAGTCCATGAATTGATCCACCCACAACAGTTTTTAGCTTTTGATACAAGTCAAGTCAGAATCTTCATATTATGTCAAAGACTCAGTAAATATCACAAAATTACCTTACATGCCATAAAGATCCAAAAAATAATGGATCAACAGTATAAAGTATAAATAATGGTAATTATTGGAGAACAAACTTCTACAGATACTTTTACAGTAGCATCCTTCATCCAATAGATTAACAAAGGACTGATAAATAAACACACAATATGCCACATAATATTACACTTCTAAGAAACAGGAGTGGCTGTTTTTGCACGATAAAGATGTCAGTGCCCAAATGGTTGAGGGACAACCAATCTTCAAAGCTCCAGAGCAGTGGGATCTGCAATGAAAGTCATTAAATAGTTATTTGTTACCATGGCTATATATCCTTTTGTACCCAAATTTAAGCATAATATGACAAAAAATGTAGCAGGACCGAGAAAACAAGAGACAAGTAACACATAAATGATGAAAACTTTCTGCAACGAAATTCGATTGTGAGGTACATGGGGGATTCGGATCCTGTCCACTACCAAAAAAATAGTTGAGAGACGACTGTAATATCATAACCATTGATTTATTTAGTGGGTGGTTGTGTGAATTAGGAAAATAGTGCAATTCAATGGGGATATGATGAGTGTTAGATATGATATGAATCATAACCACCCACTACGACATCTGCGGCTATGGTTAATGTAGTGGTCTCCCTACTACTTTTTTGGTAGGAGAGAGAGGATCCAAATCCAGTATGTGGGTGGGTACATGTGCATGTTCATATGTAAAGAAAAACTCGCTGCTAGCTAAAAATAATTTAGTGAAATTGTAAGATAAACATGTAAAATATGGTCTGCTGATATATGGACTCAATCATAGGGATATATATCGATACGAACCAATGTCAGCAGCCGACAAAGTTGTAGAGCCAGTACAATTAACCGCAAAATAAAGAGGAAGATAATGTTAATGCGGGAAAGAAGAAGATGAGCATGGTTGTCCACCAACAAATTTAAAAGTTTTGTACATGATATTAGCTACATTCAGCTTCGATCTATTTGTATACCTCTAAAATTTGACGTAGCAGTAGTAGACTGCACTGAATACCTTCATGACCTCTATCATTTCTAGATCCTATCATATTCCCCTTTCCCAAGCTACTCAAAATATGCTTTAATGTTTGTGCTAAAGTTCACTAAGACAAACTCAGTTAGGATCCATGACTTCAATAAGGATGGGAACTTGTTCCTCACACCTTAGCACACCATCAGTAATGTCAAGATCTAGTCATGAAGCGAAAACAGAGAAGGACGACTGCAATTAAATATGAAGCGCGTCAAACTGCCTCCTGCAATAGGCCAATAGACCATTATTCTCTCTTTTTATTTTCTCTACTTTACTTGGAATTTGTCCTTGATCCTCCATATTGAGAACCTTGAACATCGTCTGCTATCAGGTAATGACCTCATCGCAGATGCATAATAGAGGGCGAAATATACGTTAGTACTTAAACCTCGATGCCTGTTCAGAACACCTCGCAATCATGATCATGAGGGCACCAATAATCTAGATGAACAAAAGAGGGACAAAATGTCTCCAAAAAGGTTGCTCTTACAATTGATGAGGTCTCTGTGATTCTGTGAAACAATGACGGTGCTGGAAAAAGTTGAGTATATACTTGACTTCTCTTATTATTTTCTCCTCTTAATATATTCCTTAGAGGGTGTTATTGATTTGGGATTGTTAGCTAAGACTAGGATGTTTATTCAAATTACAATTTGAGGTGCTATTGGTTTAAATATGGTTTGGATCTCAAATTATGGTGTTATTGGCTAAACATATTAACTAGAAATTAAATTTAAAGTATAAATTGTATTTAGGCTAGGATTAGAAAATCCTAGATTCAATCCTATTGTAATATTCAATTCTGTGTGGAGGTTACAAGCAAGTCCTAAAAATATCGAGGATTTTTTTCTTCTTACCCTAGGATTCTGAAGATGACTTTAAACCACCCAACATACAAAACAAGGATCTCGATTGCTGTGGTCAGGACAACGGTTGTTGCGATCAGGATTCCAACCGCCGCTCTGGCTAGCCCAGGGTCATTGACTTTGATGCAGTTGCCATACACCACCACCGTTGTCAATGACGACAACTGTTGGCACGAGAAGAATATCAACTGGCCAAGGCTTTTTATCTTTGGTTGTGCCTTGTTTGACGACAACTGTTGGCACGAGAAGAATATCAACTGGCCAAGGCTTTTTATCTTTGGTTGTGCCTTGTTGGGCAAAGAAAAAGTAATTTTTGGGATTGTATTTGTCCTGATGTTTAAAAGGTATTAATTGGTTCAGGTATAAATTGGCTTATATGGTGGCCAGTCTTATGTTCCCCCTGGGGAGGGATGCCCTAGTTAATTAAGATTTGTCTACCAATAACAAAGCCTTTCATCCCAAATTAAGACTTACTTCTTCATTGAATTGCTCAAGGATTGGTAATATACAGTAAGTACTTTGTGGAATAACACGACTTTCCTTTTGCAATCTATGAACTCATGCCTTTTCTTTTCTATGCAGTAGGAATGTTGAACCATTGTTGTTAGCTAACAAGTACTCTGAGATACAAAAAATATTGGATGTGACAAACAAATTACCTTGTTTGCTAACAAAAATAGAGCACATATTTTTATTCTGATGTATAGATTTGACCTATATGTTTTAGAGTAGATTTTCTTGCTAAAGAAAAATATATAACTTTAATTTTCTTAGCATTTATTTATTTGGAAGTGTGATCCAGGTTATATTTTTGATGTTAAATCAAAGCACATAGATGCTAACTATTTACAGAAAATTAAACATGTAAATAGAAGTAAAGTCATAGCATAAATTGCACATGATATAAATATAAAATTCCAAATTCCATCTCTTTTATTATAGGATGGAAGTTGTGCAAGGATCTGAATGTGAGTCGAAAGTAGGTAGTGGTGGATTATTAGAAGTAGACATCCAAGACGGACAAATAGTTCTTTATCATTAGTGAATATGTATTGTTTTATGGCTATATAGCACTTATGTGCCCTATTGTTTCATTTACTTTTCATTTATATTTGTATTTGGTAGCAATAAAATACCCTAAAGTTTTTTAAACCTGCACTTATATATTCTCACTTCTTTTTTATAGCACTTATATACCTAGTTTTTAAAATTTAAACTTAAAACCATAAAGTTTTTAAATATAGCACTTAAATACCTAAAATTTTTAAAACTTGCACTAAATTCCCTCAAAGTTTGCATTAATTGAGGGTATTTATGTGCAAGTTTTAAAACTTAGGGGTATTTAAGTGCTGGCTGTTTACAACTTTAGGGTATTTATGTGCTGCCAAGAAAAGTGAGGGTATATAAGTGCGTTTTTTTTGTTACCAACTACAGGTTGGGGATATATAAGTGAAAAGTAGGTGAAACAATAGTGTGTATAAGTGCTATTTAGACTTATTTTATATATGGTTGAACATTAGCTATTCTTAGTTATGTACTATAGTAATTTAATTTATGTGGCATTTTTTGGTTTTATTAATATTTACACGATTAACAATAAAAAAAAGTAAAGATAAATAGTTTGATGGTACATTAAAATTAATTTAAGGACAAAATTGTTTCATGTTACCATATGCTTACATCAAGGGTCAGCCTTAAGCCCCAACTCACTAGACATATTTAGGACAAAGTCTCATGGTGTACGATATTCGCTAAATGCTAATGATAAGGGATTAGTTAAGGAGGCTAGAAATGAATAATTTCTAAAGTATAAAGGTGAAGTCAAGTTTTCAAAAATATAGGATTTAGATAAAAATTAGTACAATAAAGGCAGAATATATAGAATGCAATTTTAGTAAAATGAGAGAAAAGAATCGATAGAACGTATTGGTGATCATAAAATGTCTAAAAATAATCAATCTGGTTATTTAGGATCAATTATTTGTCATGATAGCAAGATTAAAGATGATGTTGTCCATCAAATCAAACCGGAATGGTTAAAATGGATGAATGTTTCTAAAGTCTTATGTGATTGTAGAATACCTATGAGATTGAAGGGATAATTCTACGTGACAGTTACAAGACCGACACCACTCTTGGGAATAAACTAGAATATAGGGCAATTAAAAAATAATATGTGCAAAAAATGAGTTTAACAGAAATGAGATTGTTATGACGGTCTTGCGGGTATACATTAAAGGATAAGGATAAAGATAAGATAACAGTACATCCATAGGAAACTAAGGGATGCTCATATTGAGGATAAAATGAGGGAGAATTAGTGGAAAAAGGAGGCTCTCAATGCATCGGATAGAGAAAAAAGACATGTTATAGTTAATTAGACAGAAAGATCAGAAGGTGGACCTAAAAGAGCATAGTTAGACACAAGTAAGAAGGATATGATAATAGTTAACTTAATAGAGGAAATGACCTAAAATAGAATTGAATGGAAGAATAGGACTCATGTAGCTGCCAAAAAAAATTTAGGATAAAGTCTTTGTTGACGCTAATTTAGAAATAATAACATATATGTTTGGCAATATTTATTATCTAACATAAAATTTAATGATAAAACAAAATTTCCCAAATTTATATCTAGTCTAAAGATATACAAAACTATCCAAAAATCCAAATTTTAGTCTAAATATCTAACCTATAGTCCAAGAATGCAATCCAAACATTCTAGCCCTAGCTCTTGTTCTAAAAAAAAGGATGCTTGGACAATTTTTGTAGTGCTAACTAACAATTTGGAACCAATCACACCTCCTTAGAGTTTTATGAAGACATTCGCCATAAATTCTGTTACTCTGTCATCCTTATCATAAGATTTTCAAGATATAATATGAGGGAGCTCTTCTTGTTGTGTTTTTAACAATGGCAGATCACCTTCATGCGCATGCCATCTCATCCAACATAAACTTATCTTTATTAAATCCGCTCTGATTATTTCTCATCAGCAATAAACTCATACAGATAAATAATTGAGTATATGCTTATATGACAGAATTAGCAAGTTCAAAAATTCTTGTGGCAAAATAGACTAATGATTCATAAATAAAGTATAGAAGGATTTTGTAAAATGGACTAATGATTCATCAAGCAAAATAGACTAATGATTCATAAATAAAGTATAGAAGGATTTTGTAAAATGGACTAATGATTCATCAATTAATAAAGGGTAAATTGCACTTAAATGTCCTAAAGTTTCACATTTTTTCACTTATATCACCTAACTTGTGAAACGTATCGCTTAAATGACCAATTGTATTTTCCATAAAAAGAAATTGACACCATTAATAATTTAGGCGTTAAGACCGAAATACCCTTTTACTTTTCTTCTTCTTCTTCCTCAATACCCTTTTTACTTTTCTTCGTTTTCCTCAACAGCCAAAACAAAACCTCCCTCTAAATTCTGTCACCAAAAACTACGCCCACAAATCCACCCACTAAACACTCCTCCTCACCAAGCTCACTTCTCTCTCACCATCTCCTTCCTCTCTGGCCCCACCTGTACCTCCCCTCACCTCCCCCTCCCCCATCCTCCTCACCTGCTCCTGAAATTGAAGCGTTTGCCCTTCGCCTCCTCTCCTCCCAAAGCCCCTCCCCTACCCCTCTTCTCCTCTCTCTCTCTCCTCAATTCCCCTCCCTCTTCTCCCCCTTTCAACCTCTTAATCAAACACTACACTTCGCTCAACAACATACCTTTGCATTGTCAATTATGGAGCTCACCAAATCTTCAGGCGTAGCCCCAGCAATGCTCTATTACAATTCAATTCTTGATTCTATGTTGTGCACCAAGTGTTTGATAAATGTGTATGATGGGTATCTACATGTTTCTTGCGATACCAAATTTTTAGTCAGAGGAATGCTATGATTACAACTTACCCCCTTGGCTTCATGAATCGCAGCATTGATCTGAGGAGAGGCAATATAAATTCGTCAGTTTTAGGTCTAATTTGGGGAGAGAAAATGGAATATATCATACGGGGTATTTGGCTGTACTTAAATGACATATAAGCGGTAATAAATGAACTCATTTGTCACAAGGGGATATTCCCAGCATATTCTAACAGAAAATTAGCGTTCTATACTTTATGTCGTTCAAGTGAAAATTTTTAAAATTTTGGGTCAGCAAGTGATACGTTTTACAAGTTAGGCAATATAAGTGAAAACCTGTGAAGTTGTAGGCCATTCAAGTGCAATTTACCCATAGATAAAATATAGAAGAGTAGATCCTACTCACTGTGCTTTATAATTCAGATTTGAGGAGATGTGATCCAGGCAGGCGGAGGCCATGTCAATCTCATGTCCGGAGGATAGCAAGTCCCGAAACTGCCATCGCTCAAGTTGAACACTCCGATATCACGAACCCTTTCCTGCCTCACTGGGATCTTGTCCCAATTGTCATCGGTAAAATAGACACGGTTCTCTTGTAGCCAGGAAATCTCCTTTGCCGAAAGGGACGCAGAGTACCAACAACCTACGAAGAGAGAGTGATCGCCCAAGCTCGTTACTAGACTCCATGTCCCTGTTTCAGGGTCCAAACTACAAATCTCAATTTTGCATGTTCGGTTTCTAGATTCCTCCTTGAGGAACTCTTCTTGCCTGACGACCTGCAAAAGAACCCCTGATGAGTCCACCAGGTAGCTGGTATCGCAAAAGATATAACCACGATATCTCTTGGCAAATAACGAAGCCTTCGGAGAAGACAACGGAGAGCAAATGTCCATAGCATAAACATCGCCAAAGTGGGTGAGTGCCAGGAATTTGCCATCACGGTATATGACATCGGCCACACCATGCCCGTTAGGAAATCTCCAAATATTCCACTCTCTGTGACCGGGCCGAGTATACATGAGGGTCCACAAAATCACCATCGGCAGGGTTCGAGGACAACACAAGCTTTCGAAATACAAGGGCCGATTGGGATTCTTCCAGTGTGTAGTATTCGCTGCCATCATAGCAGCTGTACCCCGCCAAAGATCCCTCAGAGTCATAAACAGGCTCCACCTCAGGATGAGCCGTTATCGGAGGGAGATCGATTTGAGATCTCGTGAAGGGATTGAGGAGGCTAGGGTTTGCCAACTCGTCTATGACGGCGAGCCATCCGAATTGACTTCCGACGATCCACTTGCCCCGAATCTCTGGTAAATGATGGATCTTTGTGAAAGAATTGTCCAGGTAATCAAACAGAGTGCAGAAATCGCTCTGCTGGCAGTTGCCGAAGCCGTCTCCGGAGAATATTAAATAAGGTTCGTTCTTTCTTAAGGAGAGAGGACGGGGCATGCCGTTCTCCGGCGACGCGATCGACGCCCACGAAGTGCAGACGGCGGAGAAACTGCAGTAGTCAACGGCGGAGAGGCGTTTGGCTATGAGGGTGAGTACCTCGCCCAACAGATTCGCCCAATCTGGATGCGAGGAGGGGACGGTCCCCGACGCCATGGCAGAGGTGGCTAGGGTTTCAATGGAAGAGGATGATGATGAGGCTCCCGAGCCCCTGTGGATCCGAGAATCCAACATTTAGTTATAAATAACCCCCCGTCAGCAAAAACTGGGCCCCACATCGAGGGGTACTTTGGTCTTTTAGAAAAAAGAGGTTTATACCCTCAACTGGGCCCACATCGAGGGTGACTTTGGTCTTTTAGGAAAAAAAGAGGTTTATACCCCCAAACACCAAGATCAAGTGCTTTATTCTGTTCTTTTCTTTTCAGAAAACGCCTCCCCCTAAATCCTACGCGAAGTGCGTACTCAAAAAAAATCATACGCATTCAACTTTTAGTGTCTTTAATATTTATTACATTTTTTCCCCTTCTCGTCAATCCTATTTTTAATTTTAATTCTAAGCTGGGTGTTTGGGGATGCACTGGACATACTTGACCATGTCATGAGAGTTCCCAAAAAAATCCTTTTGAATATAATATAAGATCTGCATATAATATTAATTGGTCATACGTATAAAAGTTATACTCACAGTATACATATAGATATATATGTATACTACTTGTATAACTTATACCTATATGACAACTTTTAAAACAAAAAGGTTATGAATACCGAAAGCAAAGAAGATATAAGTATTGACTTCAAAATTTTCATGCATGTAAGCTTCCTTAAACTACAAAAGTTGATAAAACAAAAAAAAAATGTTTGCATACCTGATGGTAAAAGAGTATCGAAGGGGGAGAGAGAATAGTAAAAAGCCAAAAAAAAAGTTATTTAATATCTGAGTTGAGGTATGTTCACTGATGAAGACATGCTTATATATAGACTTGAGGAAACTGAATACATAAGGATTCTAGAATAACTCCGACTCCTAAACCTAATGCAATTAAGACTCCATAGATAAATTATTTTACAGAAACTCTCAATTACATAAATTAGAAATAAAATTTGCACATAAAAAATATTAAGATACATATAAAGAGAACCCAAAAGTTTCATAATCTAATTTTCTTTTTAAAAAATTTAGTTATTATAATATTTTTCTCAATTATAAAGATTAAGACTAATTGGACTAACTTTATAAAATTTTAGTTAATAATTTTCTTCTTAAAATTTTCTTCTTAAAAAGTATTAAAATTTTAGTTAATAATTAAACTAGTAAGCCCACAGGCCCGCCAACTATAGTACGAACAAACTCTCTCTCCCTCTCTCTCTCTCTCTCTCTCTCTCTTCCCTCTCTTCCCTTTTTCTAGTTAAAGATAGTATTTTTATTTGGCTTGCTTTAATCAATCGGGTTAATTTCAAACCGTTATGAAGTGAACCAGCTTGATGATTTCCTCACAAGTCTCTGCAGGTTAACTAATTTTCTCAACTTTAATCATAAACCTGATCCTCACTTGCAAATTTTAATTGTTATGTTAATTTTTTTTACTTGTAGGAGCGTATAGAGTTAGCAAAAGCTTCGAAACGGGAGCAACTGCAAGATAAAATGTGATGAAGGTTGTGTAATTTTGTTATTTTCTCGATGACCCATTTGAGTTTTATGAACAATGGTGGGATTAAAGTTGATATTTTGGAGGAATTTGATCTTTGTAACAACAATTTGCTATTGGGGTTAACGATGTCACTTGGGTGCTCGAGAGAATGTCTGAAAGAGAAAATCTTGATTGAAACTCATAACATTAAGACACCTCCCAGAAGAGCTTCATTGGCTCCACTCCAGGTATAAATCCTGGTCTATTCCAAATTTCTTTATTGATTAATAATTTATACTACACACGAAAATTTGTTATGCAATGTTATGCTTCGCAATTTCTATTTGTTTATGCATGATGTTCATCAATCAATGTAAGTTGCGTTGAAATGGAAATCGCTACTTTTTGTTGTTTCCTTCCAAACATGAATGGTGCTGACTGAATTATTAAATTTTCGGTACACAGGATTAGATTTTCCAAATATAAATACACATAATGCTTACATTTCTCGTCGCCAGGGATCCCTTCAGTGAATCATACGACTTCTGTGTCTTGCTCAGGGGGTAGGAGGAGGAGGTGGTGGTGCCCTTGCGGACTGATCCCGAGCTTTCGCCGTTGTTTAATAAGCGTGATGCCATTCTTTGTGATCCACGCTTCAGGGAATACGGGTAGCCCTATTGCTTCCTGAGGAATGGGCTCGAAAGGATAACGGGCGATTTCATCATCTTCACGATGTCAAATGCGGTCTTTGGAGGCGCGTCAATATGTTCGCTGATGAAGTGGATCGTGAGATCCACCAGTGGCAGTTCGATCACCACCGTAAGTTTCTCCAATCCCGTGGACTATGTATGATTTAGATATTTCCTAGGGTTTAGATCTATAACCTAATTGTTTCTGTATGTATTCTCTGTGAATTAAACCGAGTGAGTCAATTTAGCTTTAATTTCATGATATTAGCATGAATTTGGCATTATCTAGGGTTTAGAACTATAATCTTCAATGTAATTGATTCTGGATATTTTTTTAGTGAAATTTCACCAAGTGAGTCACTTTTAATCCCATCAAGAACACATTACTTTAATTTGTTGAATTTTTATAATGATTATCCTGTGAGCAAGTTACTGTAATTTTTTTTTTTGATTTGTGGATTCCATTCTTGATGTATGCCCTGGCCATGATTTATTGATGAATTCTGGGAGTACATTACTTTATTTTCTAGTAACTTTTATTAAGCTTTTAGGCATTATCTAGGGTTATACTTCCAACAGAATTCGTTCTTCTTATGTTCTCTGAGCATGACGTTTTGGGTTAAAGGCAAAGAGAGAGGACGAGAAATACAAGGACATTTAGGGGTTTTTAATTTCTTTTTTGCAAATATTGTCCCCAAAATAGTATCTATCTGATGCTTGGGGCTTAAAGATAAACACTGAATTTTTTTTTGGGTATATATCGTAGAGATGGAGTATAAATATTGTATACAAAGTGTAGCTCGACAAGAGTCTCGTAGCATCTTAAGCAAAGGTACAGTTGCCAAATCCTCAACAATATACCTTCCTGCTTCTTTTGTAACCGTTTTCGTTGATGTTCCATCACGATGAGACAGTCACACAAATGAACTGCAGCTCTTACATCTCTACACATCCGGTTATAATAATCTTTCACAGAAGAAAATTTCCCGTGATGATTATATCTGAAACCCACGTTCTTTAGAAATGTGTCAAAAATTGGATTAGCTTATCAATCTCAAATGCTTTAATCCCTTGAATACAAAGTCAAGGTACAATTTTGCTGAAAAACATAGGTATCTTTGCCCTTTTCTAGGATTCTTGATTCTAAGGTAAGTAATCAGCTTAGGCAATAATAGGGAAGGAGAAACCCAAATTGTCATCGTGATCATAACAGCTTGACATACAAATTACTTGTCTTCTGAAATTGTGGCCAGCATCTGTACAAGTATCAGACCAAATGAAACAAGGTTTGAAATTGACTCTCCGCAAAACTTGAATACCTACACGGATGTCATACTTGTAGTTTTGCAGACAATACTTCTTGGACTCTTCAGGGATTTCAAAATCAGTTAATCATTTATCTTAATACCTCGAGCAGTCTTTCCTTGTGACATTGATATCTGTTAAAATTAGCACTCTGACACGTCATAGAATCAGAATAATCAAAGAAGGAATGATAAAACAAAGAAGGCAACTCGTGCAGGAGAATCTGGCCAGCTAAGGATTCTGTCATGACTCATGGAGGAGGCGATGCTTCTTGATTTCTTTACTTAGATGGCTGAAGTTATTACTTATTTTGTATATGTTAAATATAGAAAAGAAAACAAAAAAAGGAAGGAGATCTATTTGTAATTCTATAAGAGAGGCTGTATTGTAACAGCAGAGGGACAAGATAGAAAAAAAAAACGATTGTAATGCTCAATTCAATTGATAAATAAATTAGGGTGGGAAGGGAGTTCTTGGGAGTGTGTTGTTCTCTGTGTGCATGATTTTTTGTCATGGTATCAGAGCAAAGTTCCGATCTTGGTTTCTAACTGCTCTATATTTTGGTGGTATTGTTTTTGAAAAATGTCAGGTTCTGAGAAGGGATCCAAACCAGAAGAACAAACCAACACCGCAACCTTAATTGAGCAAATGGCGAAGATGATGACTCAAATGGCAGCTATGCAAGCTGCTGCCATGAGTAACCCTCAACCGGTGACACACAGCGTTGCCATAACAGAGGTAGGTAGGCATTGAAAGCCGATTGATGTGAAGATGGATGGCACAAACTACACCTACTGGTGTCAGGCCATAGAGATGTATGTCAAAGGTCGTGAGAGGATGAGACACCTGACGGGTACCCCGGCACCGCCTGGTATGAATGATCCGGAGTTTAGCAAATGGGAGGTCGATGATGTGATTGTCAAGGGATGGCTCATAAACTCTCTAGAACCAAGGTTACAAAGCAAGTACATCCGTCATCCTACAGCAAGAGACGTTTGGAAAGCGTTAGAAACCACCTACTATGACGGAAGTGATGAGGTACAGGTTTTTTCACTCAACAGAAGGGTCACACGCCTCAAGCAAGAAGGGAAGAATATTGAAGAATTTTACGATGAGCTTCAAGCATTATGGCAAGAGATTGATTTTAGATGCCCAAACCCCATGGATACCCCAAATGATATTGAGAAGTTTAATCTCTTTATTCAAAAAGCGCGAGTATATACTTTCCTCGATGGTCTTGAGGATCGTTTCGATGCAATTCGGGCTCAAGTTCTTCAACTAAAACCATTCCCAACAATAGAACAAGCCTTCGGTCATGTGAGACATGAAGCAACTCGACAAAGTGTGATGATGAAAGAATACAACGATGCCACAACAAACTCACTCGCCATGGCAACAAAGGGGTACAGATCATATGAGGTAAATCCAAACTCAACTAAAAAATTTGGGTTTACTGACAAGTCTAAGTTGAAATGCTCAAACTGTGGTGGCACGAGACATACGAGAGAAGGTTGTTTTGAGTTGATCGGTTATCCAGACTGGTGGAAAGATCCAAGAAAAAAGAAACAAGGAGATAACAGCCGAGGCCGAGCAAGCTTAGTAGTTTCCAGGGAACCTCAGCAAACAGGCGTCAAAGAGACAGACAACCTCTCTCATGTTGACCGCAGGTGTGTAGCAGCCACTACTCAAGTCCGAAG